GGAGGATCCTGTAACCAGAATTATGAAGTTATCAAAGTTAGCTACTAAAGTAAAAGGTAAAAACAATTTCCATTGCAAGACTGGAATGTTTAGACTCTCCAGCTAAGAAACATGCCATATACATGGTGGGGAGAAAACCTGAGAGAAAAAGTGGGGAAGAAATCAGAATATGATATCACAGAAACTATTGCATCTCCTCAACCTCTCCTTTCTCAAATTGAGGTGTTCTCAGCATGCATCTTCTACAGGTAAAGTCTAAATATGTGTATGTCAACCTGACCGATAGGGTCCTCCCGGTACAGTATGCCAAAGAGGTCTTAATCAAGTATAAACTTTTTAACTCCAAAGTTTTTGCTCAGTCTCTAGGCTTAAAATGTCCGAATAATATGAAGAACTAGTGAAAAGATGAGAGAAACTCCAATACAAAAATAATCTCGGACAAGACCAAGGTCGAGCCAAAACATTGTTAGGCCTAAAACAAATTTTAAAGACTTTTTAAAAATTAATAATAATATCTTTTGATAAAAAAATTAAAATGTTTTAGAGATGGGCTTTGAAAAAAATAATTATATTTGTATATTTTTTTAAAGATAGACTTTTTAGAATACAAAAAGTGATTTTTAAATTATGGGTTTGAAAAATTTATATAAATATTCATGTAAAATATTTTTCTTAAAAGGGGCCCAAGGCATGAACTTTCTTTACCTCATGCTTGGGCTGGCCTTGGACGAGACATTTTAGGTAACTTAAATATTGAATAGTTCATAGTGATAGGTTCAGTTGACACAAGAAAATTGTAGAACTAAATAAGGATCCGAGCTAGACCTCAAGGCCATTTATGAAGACACCAAGAAAAATAATTTGATAAATTATAACAGCAATGATTTACCAGGATTATTTTTTTATTTCTATGGAAGTATGAGAATACTAGACAAACCTCTGCATTGGGGAACACTGTTTCACCGCCTTTAGTCACATCAGTGAGATACATGAGAACTGTGGCAACTCGGTGTCCACCCCGAGCTATATTAACTTTATCAGCAAAGTAATCATAATGAGGGTCATATTTCTGCCCGTGTTCATATCTTAACACTTGTATGTCTTCTCCATTTTCTGAAATTCAATAATCAAAATACCGTAAGGAATTGACTATTGCCTCCTTTATTTTTTTCTTCCTTTTGGGGGTAAGGGGAGGGGAGAGTAACTGGAATGTAAATGCATTTTCCTCATTTAACATATTAGACAAAATAATTAATTTATGAAGATAATTTTTTTTTTGACAAGTGATTTTATGAAGATTATTTGCACAAAATACTTGTGATTCACAATAACTATTCCTTGGGCCCTCTATTCCAGATTTTCTCCAGTATACTTTGAATGGTTTAAATTGTTTCTGTCCCAATTGAAAGTTGCCGTAGTACCTAATGGATATGGCACTTATGGTGTGTTGTCAAGCATTTATTGAATATTGGTATTGTAACAAATGTTTAAGATTCTATTAAATACAACCAGCAGTCAATTGAATGCTTGACGAGTACCATACCCAGGAAAAAGAGGATGGGAGAGTAATAAATACCCTTCAATGCTTTCCATATACCCTTAACATCTTTTTTTTAGGTTCGTTCCTAGAGTATCCACCGCCGACAGCAGTGACTAATCTCCTCGCTATGTTGGAGGCACCTCAAAGGGTGGGATAGCTGGCCCCAAGATTTAACGCGGCTGCATACACAAGGCAGGATTCGAACCCCTGACCTTGCTTAAGCGTTAACATCTTTAAAGTCAACATTGGGTGTTATGGAAAAGCTATATTTAAACAAAAATAAAGCATTAAAGTATTCAATAGGAAAAACAACTTATTTATAATTTAGGTCCTGTTTGAAAACTAGTTCAATGCTAAAAATGGGAAATTTGCATAGAAAATAATTTAATGGAGTTGGTTTAGAACCTTCTAAACTGCTATTTAAGTAAAAACGTACACATAAGATGTCACTAAATGCAATCAAGAACAACAGTTTCCTTGTTTAAATTATTAAATGATAATAGCTTCCTTTATTTAATCGTGACTAAAGTTGAAAGTTCATTGTGGCATTTTAGTAGAAGTTTAGAGGAGTGGAGAATTGCAACAAACAATTCCACACATCATAGTCACAATAGGGCTTTCCTTGACATGCAGATTGCAGAATAAAACAGGAAAGGAAACTTTGAAGGGCAGTGGTAGGCAGGCGGTTGGAAGAGAGAATGGGGCCCCCTAAAACTTTCAAAATTTTGTAAATCATAATAGCTCCAAAACCCAAAATCAGCATCACAGATCAATCCTGAAATATGCTCTATTCAACAAGTAAACATATTCATGAATAGTATATAGCTGATTTGAATGATTTCTTCCTATGTTTTTTAGAGTCCTTGTTTACAAGACTTCATTTTAAAGCCCGTGACTGCAGTTACCATAATAAAACAGCAACTGAGGAGATACAGAAAATAGTCCACCTTCTCATTCCCTTGTAATATTAATGTTTCATGCAAATTACTAAATTGATTGTGTATAATCCAGACATTATAGGAGAAAGCCCAGCAAAATTAGTAATAACAATTGACAATCATAATTGCAGTTGACCCAATCACATGCAAGTAAAAGCCATACAAACCTAGTATCAGCTATCAGCCACAGCTTAAATAATGCCATGCAGACTTCCATCATGATTTTATATATGCCATACCTTTTGGAAGAAAGGTCCATGATGAAATCTTGTCCTCAATACCAGCAACAATGGGGTCCTATAAAATAACTGAACAGAGTAAAAAACAGTTCATAGAAAGTACTCAGCACAGTCTTTTCCATTAGTATGAATTAAAAATTGGACCCATAAAAGTTCAACTGTTCAAACAACAGAACAAGCCTAAAAATCCCCCAGAACCATAGCGTCTACATAACCTCTCAAAACTCAGACAGCTCAAACCCCAATCAGAATATTCTCTCAAACTCACATGTTATTCTTCTATAAAACAGTCCTTACTCCCAGAGTACAAAATTTATGAAGTTATCAAATGTAGAAGCAAAAATAAAACCATGGTGGAATTGACTTTCCAAATCACTAGATTGATCAGTGCAATTATTTTAACTTTCATCTTTCCCATGGTCATGGGTTTGATTCACCTAATGCTGGAGTTCCCACATCAACCAATGATATGACCAAATTAGAATATATAAGTGAAAACAATCTTCACCTTACAAGTCAATTTTGTAAGGTAGAATTAGGCCCAAATCCGCTTTCTTAAGACCTAACTCCACTAAAATCTTGTTTGGTGTTCAACCCTCCTCAGAAAGAACTCCTAACACTCCAGGGCTAGTTGTATATATGCAAAAAAAGTAAAATTGCTTGCAGTTTAGGCCTGTGTAGTAATCTCTGGGTGCTTCAATTTGCAATCCCAACATGTCATTCCCGACTTGCTTAATTATTGGGGTACTCCTGATATGATCACATGAGCCCACCAATGGTAGTGTCATTAACAACTCCCCATTCTTTACCCCCCAAACAAAAGTTAAAGGCATTAAACAGATTTTCCTTTCTAGTTACAGTCCCACATATAAGCAAGTATAAGATTGATATTGGATGATCTACCACTACATAAAATCCAATTCTAAAGCAATCAACGGTAATAAATGAAGAAAAGGTAACCTTGTTTTTGGGAATGAACATGCCAGAGCTCGTTCTGACTTCACTCAACTTGCTCTCGCCGGACAAATTATCAGCCACCGCGGATCTCTTGAGCTCCGATTTGGCTATGGAAATCAAGTGGTCGCATTCCAATTCCGTCAAGAAACCCTTGTAAACGAAAGCTCTGCATCCAAACCGTTGTCATCATTCATTCATTCACTCACTCACTCACTCACTACCAAATTGAGTTTCATAAGCGAACATGTGTAGAAACAAACAAACAAACCTTGGTTTCCACGAAACTTGTTTCACCTTGGAAGGGTCGATGATCGCACTTGCGGAACCAGCGTAGGAACTCCACGCTCCGTGCCATTGCAACGCCAACGCCAACGCTGATAGCACCACACACCAAACCCTACTCATTTTCGTTTCTCTTCGCTTTCAATTCCAATTAACTTTCTTTGTACTTTGCCTTCACACGATCTATGGATGAACTAACACCATTAAAGACTGTTTGACTTTTTTTCATAGTTTACTTTCATTTTTATTTTTTTTTGTAACTATTATTGCCATGGATAAAATTTTATCAATGGTTTCGTGTAACGATATAAATAATTTAAACACAATAGCACACCAACATTGAATAATATAGTAAATCACAATTAGATCCAACTTAGTAGTATAATTTTACCTTGGCTTTAAAAAATGAGGTTGTCTCAAAATAGAGAAAATAATTTATATCTTTTTAATACTATTACTCAATCACAAATTATTATATATGATAAGTCTAATAATTTTTATAATAATTATCTTAAAAATTATATTATAATTTTTAATTAATTTGTAGTGTAAAAATTACATTCATAATGTATAAAAATTAAATTCTTTAAAATAATAAAAAAAATATTTGACATACTCCCACTTTCTTTTCTGCGCTATTTTTCCTTTATTTTTATCACATTATTAAGTCACATTTATCGCTTTTCTGTCGTTTATATTTATCTCCTTTTTCAATGTACACAAAAAAAAATTGCACCTGCATCATTGCTCTGAATAATTATAAATCTTAAATCTCTGTTTATTTTGTTTTCCTTTCAAACTTTGATTCTCAAATTAAAACAGCAAAAAACATAAATACAAAAGGAAAATGGGTGAGCTAGGTGATGAAAAGTGGTAATAATATTAGTATGCAGGTATATCGAGAAATATGAGAGTTGAACGAATTTGTGTTATAACTGAAAACTAAAATCCGGTAAAAAGAAATAACTTATACTCATTTTGACGTTCCCGTAGTAATAATACTAGAGGTGAAATTAATTTGTTGAAGATATCAAACAAAAATGACTGAACACATATCGAACAAATCAGGTAAATTTCCTTGGATAGATCTGCTTATGATTACAATTGAAAACTGAAGAACTTGCTGAAAATGGTATTTCCAATTGATGATGTGTGGATAAAATGGAAACCAACCATCCTGAAGCTTTAATCGAGCTTCTCAAATTCTACCCCAACTTCATCATCATTTGACTAAATAAAACTATTGACAAACATGCTACTACATTCACACGAGGTTCTGCCTCTTTGTCTCTTTTTGTGTCTTTGTTAGTTAACCCCTTCAACCCATGTTCTGGCCAGCTCTGGATTCTCAATTGGAATCACAATCATTGAAACTTCTGTAGTACCATCTACACACATCATCTGAATCACAGGCCATGTGCTAGTTTCTTTCTCCATCTGTACTAGAATTACAGGAGCCTAGAATAGTCTCCATGTGTCGCTCCCTTTCACTCAAAAGCTTTGTTGAGTTGTACTCTTCTGCATCTAAGAGTTCTTCAGAATATGTCCTCTGAAGTTTTGACTTCGATCGTTCTTTCATCACTCTTAAGCTCTCTGCTTCCCCTTTTAGTATGTCTAACACCTGCATCCAATCATGCTCTATATCAGGTGACAACAGTGTATTGGATAGATCAGATTACTCACAGCTTTAAAAGCTTTTGTTTACTTGTTTTCTTGGCCAAAGCCAAACATAGGATCAAAGGTTAATCAATTTTGCAGCTATTATTTATTCCTACAAGTTGTTAGGGCCATTTGGAGGAAATGATATTATGGACAAGTCGACTTGCTCTAGCAATCTACTGAATATATAAAGGACATGCCTCGCTCATATCCGGTCGTTGTATTGAACACTGGTCTACACACAGAGAAGCCGTTAAGGCTACAAGTTTCATCTGCTCTTCATCATAAGCACCATCCAAAACTGGATCCACAAGCTCTTTGATTTTGTTTGCAGATAGCAAAGGTTTTGCCTGCAATAATTATTTTTTAAAAGGGTAAATTAGAATTAGAGTTTTGATTTCTATGCATAGTTAATATAAAAAAATTTACACCGTGAATCGATCCAAATTCATGATAGGTATAACTCTTAAAATAGTTATTATAAAAATGAACAAATTTATTATACATAACAATTGTCATTAAATAACAATGTAAAAGTAGTGCAAAAACTATTTACTCTAGAATTTAACATTTTTCATGTCAAGATGATTGACAAACATTTAGTATTTGTATGTATAAAGGCAGACATACCCACATAACCAGACTTTTCTGTGAGCTATCCAAAGCTTGTCGACCAGTAATGAGCTCCAATAATAGCACACCATAGGCATAGACATCTGTCTTTTCATCTACTATACCATGCATGAAGAATTCAGGAGGAAGGTAGCTGTCGTGGCATCCAAGGTTAATGCAAAAGAAAAAACAGAAACTATAAGTGCTAATTAATAGTTGAAAAGAAAAAACTATTTATATATATAATTACTGTACACGTGCAAAACTTGTGAAGATGCTAAATATACAAACCCAAATGTGCCTTCCACTTTGGAGACGGTATGGTGAGTCCATTGGTCAGGTAACCACTTTGCTAGTCCAAAATCAGATATCTGGTATAAGATTGGCATTAAACAAACTTAGATGAAATAATTAAGATTGTAAATTGATTTAGAACAGAAGAAGTTCCATAATCAGATTTGTGAGGCTTAAGAGGCACCTGAGGCTCAAAATCCTCTGAGAGCAGAATATTAGAAGCCTTGATATCTTTGTGAATGATCCTTCTTTGACATCCCTCATGCAGATAGCGAAGGCCCTCTGCAGTCCCCAAAGCAATCCTATATCTGAGGTTCCAATCCAGTTTCTCTCTAGGTCCTGAAATTATGCCAGGAAAGAAAACAAATATGGCTTTGTTATCCCAAAATTTGCATGGCACTCCAGAAACTCTCAATGATTGGTTAGCTTATATACCATAAAGTATGGATGACAAGCTACCATGTGGAGACAATTGAAGAACAAGAAACATTCCACCTTCAACACCATATCCAATCAATCTAGCTATATTGGGGTGGTCCACGTGCACTATAATGCCAAGCTCAGACAAGAAATCTGCAGTCATTTCTTCTGGATTCCCTCTTGTCAAACGTTTAATGGCAACGAAGTTTCCATCCTCCAATTTGCCTAAGTAAACCTCAGCATATCCTCCCTCTCCAATCAAATTATCTTCATAAAGTAAATTTATAAAATAGTTTATCAGCCTAGCAAACATGGTGTCAATATGAACTTGTTTGGATATAAATTTAGAAGAGTTTTTAAGAGTTTATCTCTTGAAAATAAAGAGCTTAGAGATACCCTCAAAAGCTCTTCTAACTTTGTATCCAAACAAACTCTATTTAATCATAAAAAATAAAAATAAAAATAAAAAAAGTAGCCAACAAAGCACTTAATGGTTTCATTTTATCCCACAGTAATTTCCAAATTTGATTTCCTGATAAGAGAATTGCATACCATAGCTAAAGTCATTGGTTGCTGAGAGGAGCTCTGTGAGAGTGAAGTTTTTCCAAGAAGATTTGAAGCAGCCAAAATCAGTGTCAAGAGATGACTGAAGAGCTGGAGAATTCAGAGATGGAATGAGGTCCTCCCTGATCCTCTTGCTTTTTCTTCTTGTGAGTCTTGGAACATTTAACCGTGGTTGAAAATTTTGGAAAGGCATTTGGGATCCTTTCTTCAGAAGTTTAAAGAAACCACGCCACTGGTTATTGTTACCTGGTGAATTGCCTACTACTGATCCCTGACCCTCAGAATCAGAAGTACTTGCCCTGGAACATGGGGTTTCAGATCCATGACTTCTAGGAGACTGATCACGGTAGGGGCCTACCTCGTCAATGTCTAAAGTTTCCAACTCTAATATGGTATTATTCATTTCAGCATTAGAACAAAAAATAACAAATACAACGAGTAAGGTTCAATCAACTCAACAACATCATGTTTGGAGCAAATTAAACAAAACAGTTGGAATCAAAAGAAAAAAAGAGAGAGGCGATTTTAATTACCAATGCTTGAAAATGAATCAGAAAAACCAGGTCGTGGACGTCTGCCTCTAAAAATCGATTTATCCCTATCAACTATTTGTTTTTTTTCTACCTTGTGGACGCCATTGCTGCAAACATATTATTCTTTGTCAACATTGGACATGGAGAGACTAAAAACAAATTCCAATAAAACCACTTGTGGTCAAAAACCACCGTCTGCATGCCCATAATAACGTTAGAAAAAATTGTCCAGGAAACCACAAGACAAAAATATCAACGCATAACATCGATCAAGACAAACATGGACGGAATGAAGAAAACAAAGTTTAGAAGTAATACTGTAAAAAATGTAAGATTTTATTTACTAGTCTGCTTTGAAAGCCATTGGCACATCGTTACTAAGGAAACATTAACTATTCAAATTGGAAGCTTAAACACAAATTGACACCCAGGTTCAAATTTTCTAGATAAGAAGCATCATGATTGAAATGAAAGACTCCACGAAAAATATATGTCTGAAACATTGGTGAGAGAGGAAGTTGATGGATACTTTGTATCAATAAGATTGTTACCAGCAAAAAAAGATTGAGACACAACATGCATGAGACGAAAACGTTGCATGAAAAAAGAAAAGAACGTGTAGGATGCGATGGAATAACGTGTAGGGAAGGTTCATATATTACCTGGAGGAAGCT